TGTTCGTGTTGCTGAATACCCATCTATTTTCTGATTATAGCAGTAGTCTTATTACGAAACAAAACTTTCGTTTTGTGCAAGTTTACACTACCTTCAAACATTGCTGATCACGGTTAATAAATTCATCCGCAATACGCGAGAGCATGCTCAGCGTACAAAATGGTGATGGCATCGGAACGAAACTTCAGTTCGGTCAGAATCCAACCGAATTCACATTTTAAGATCTCAACATTCGGAATTCCGACCGAAATTTGTCGGTGTTTTTCGACCGAACGACGGTTGAATGCTATCAATATCAATAATACAGCAAAATTCTATCATTCAGTTCGATCAAGGCGATTTGTTGCTACCAGTGTAGCTTCTGCACTTGCAGTTGGTCAAATGTACCTCTCATGAATCAGATTAGTTAAAAATGTACTTCTTCGGTACTATATTTTCGACTGCTTATCAACAAATTCAGTTTACCACGAGAACTGCAAATTTTTGAAATTCCGTACCACTTGGCATCGTAAGTGGTAGGCAACAATTTCGCTATAAATAGAACTTATAACTGAACAAGTACTCGCTCGTCTCCATTGTTTTCTCGGCACGTTCAACACCGACAACCTCTCAGCAGACGATGGTTTCTACCATTCAAACTTATACAAATCTGCCCACCGTTCCATTACCTTTTATTATATTCATCAATATGCCCACTTCAAGAACCTACTATCAGAGTGTTGCATTCATTGTGTTCACGTTAATTTTAGCCAGAATTTATCGAGAACATCAGCTTTTTTTGTATTGTTGCGTTTTTTACTTAATAAACAATCCCCCGTCTCCATTCTTATGAGACTCGATAGAAGCAACAACTCGAGTCAAAACAAATGCCCGCCGAAGATTTCCATCACCCACTCCGTCGTTCGCCCATATTTGTGAAGAGAATGAAACACAACAGATCTCCTCGAGCTGACATTATCAAAAAATGGCACAAGTACAGCATAGAAGATGTTCGATTGGATAGCTGATAGCGGTGGTAATGTGAGAGTGCGATGCGACATTTTTGAAAGATTTCTACCTTTCACTATACCATCAACACACCTATAGGCTTCTTCGCATAGTGAGCATTCTGCAGCGGAGACGGTGTTTGAAACAGAACAATCTGGAGCTGGCAATAAATGGTGTTGAGGAAAACGGTGAGCCTGCTTACGACCTTTCGAATTTCGACCAACTTTTCAAGTTATTCAGTCGGAATTCCGAGCGGATTTTGTCGGACTTTTCCGATTGACCATCNGAATCCATATATAAATTTCTTTATCATAATGACAAGGATAACCCAAACAACAGAGTCAACAACAACAACGATAAAATAATACTTTGATACATTGAATATAAGAATTTGCAAACTTACAGAAGACACTTGTAAGATATGTTCAAGAAATATACAAAAGGATATCGTTTATAGATAATGTTAAAATCAATTGAATGAATATTAGCACGGAATCAAACAGATATACACCGAGGACAGATGGAATGAAGCGAAGTGGATAAAGTTTGAAATATTTTTGCAAATACAGAAAAGTGAAATGAATTAAAAAAGTGGATAAAAACAAGTTATTTTCAAAAAAACTTGAATAAGGCATCTAATAGTAAAATGCGAAAGGCATTGAACATGGTGACCAACTAAAATAATTGACTACAATTAATAATTAATAAGAGCTTAGAAATCTGAAGAGAAATAATTAGAATTTGGTTATGTAAATCGTGATGGGAATCATTGTATCAGCAGAAAACCTCTGCAAAACTTTCACAATTCCGTGGAACTGAATACATTGAAGTGAGTGCGCTTAAATGATGGAACAGAGTTCATTACAGAAAACAATATTGGTCATCTTAATTCATAGAATCGAATCACTTCATGCAGGATGACTGTCTTATAAAATAAAATTAGTATACGATATACTCAGAACATATTCTGCGAATAATTTCATGACCGTTAATTGCAATTTTTTTCTTTTTCGAACAAAATATTCTCGAGTTAATGGATAAATGTCAATTAAACGATTGTTTCCAGAACCGTTAATTAGCTCCATCGTTATTAATTCACGTTTTATTGTGCAACCAATAAAAACTGTGTAGCAATATTTACAATATTTTGGATACGAATAAAAACCATAACAACTGCATTTGATTGGCCAATTTACAGTTATTTACTTTGCATATTTATTTCCTGTAGTAATGGGCGATGCTCAGGTTTCAGTAATATTCGAAATATTTCTGCAACGATTCCTCATTACATTCATTACACACACAGCCAAAGCAGAACAGTGCCAATGCCATTGAACATTTCTCGATTGCACACTTCAGTTACTCTTTTATATCGATTCGTTAAAATGTTCCCCATTGAAAAAAATATGCTGCACCACATAATGATTCAATGTAAGACTTGATATCCAATCGAGATTCAAGAAGCATTTCTCGTTTCATAGGCAGGTGTAGCCTTACAGCTCTTGATATATTTACCGTGATCGATGAGGAATATCGTTTAATTGATGGGACATGGTCGTACGTAATCGATGGTTTCACATCATGAATCATTTGTTATGAGTATTATTCGATGAAAAATTAAAGCCTAACCTGAAAGCAAATCGGGATATTCGCATAATGTGGATGACAACTGCGAAATGAAAACTTTAGCATCATTCTTTTTGAAGTACACCTTAATATCCACAACTGCTTTTAAACGCACGCTTTCATTCGGTATACCACTCAACTGAAATTGAAAAAAACAACATCGCATCATATGAAGACAGATGCGTTACCAACGTTGCCTCTCATTCCGTTAACTTTCATTTCAAAGGAAATGATGATTCCAAAGATTTTTTCAACGGGCAGGGCAGCGTTGAGCTTCCTAAAGATTCATCCTCTGATGGTTGGAATGACGTTTGATGTTTCAATGCGAAAATCTTGTTAAGGTTCGTGACGAACCAAAACGATCGCTACAAAACGTTCTGCACCTTTCTGGTCTTCTTCCCGTAAGCGTAATAAAGACAGATCGGAAGAGCAGCAAAAATAATACAATTCCAATGCGTCTCACACGAATACACAATAACATAAAGTGAAGTAGACAAAAAAAGTGAAACTTGCTAAATGTTAACATTTATCAGTGAATATGCGTAAAAAGGTAAGAGATGAGTGCAATTCAACAAACGATCAACAACAACCCACCAAAATAGCAATTTTTGCTGCCGGAGTGTGTTGATATTGAGGTGGTATAGAAACGCCATGACTTGATTTGGAAGACTGACCTGATGTCGATGCTTCAGCAACAACATTCTTTGGAGGTCTCGATGAATTCGGCTGAATTACAAAACAATCATATTTTGATGTGACTGATTTTATATAATTTATAAAATTACTCTATCTTAGCACATCATAAAATGCATCGTGAGAGTGCTTTCTACGAGATTTTTTAAAAGCTTTACTATTTCAATCCTCTAATTTCATAGAACCATTTAAATTCCGCGATAAAGTAACCTGTGATATAATTTTTACGTTAGCGTTGATAATGATGAAATGAGTTCTAACGAACCTTGAGTTTAACTGTCTTCCTTGACGTTCCACTAGGTACTTGTTGAAACGTATATGAAGCAATCGAATGAGCAGATGAAAGAGCAGTGGATGAGGCAGATGTCCGCGATGGTTCTATCACTGCATTCCTTTGCCATTCGTCCTTCTCGACCTGAAGTTGATCAATCGTTTAATTCCACCTTCTCAACACATTACTATCACATATCCAATAAAGGTATCGAGAGCGCAACAAGATTAGCAATAATAATTGTACAAATGCTTGAAATTTTAATGAGACCTAATTGAGAAAATTGCTTTTCGAGTGTTGCGTGTATGAAACAAAGTAATTTCAACTGATGACGATAGAGAACCATAAAACAAAATGAAAGGACGTACAATATTATCGAGAATACTAGTTGATTTTTGAGTGGGTGTCTCAGTGACCGGTTGTTGAGGAGGCGGTTGGTTATATGAGCGATAGTATGACGCATATATACCAGCCACTGAAGAATCCTTCTTGATGGTCTTAGAATTTGTATTTGAATTACACTCATCAACTTTCCTTTTTCTGATATTGACCATTCCATGTGCTGATTCTTTTAACATCTCTTTTTGGCTATTCTAAATATTACAATATATATTTACATATCACCATGACCATAAAATGCATGCACACTGAATGAACAAACAAATACTTTATCAATCAATGAAACATTCATTAAAATAACCCTGTATCCATGATCTGCGAAGAACTTTTTGCATTTCACTTCGAAATCAGCGAATGTCTTGTAATTTTCAAATGAAGAACGCATCCAAGTTGGGCATTCTTTTTCATATTCTCCGAACCTTAACATTTTGTTTAGCACATCTATTTAAAGAGCGCTTGAAAACATTCGCCATGTATTGCATCGCCAATTGTAATACATTATAAATGTGTACGATTTGATAAATCAGATCGCATACGTTAACAATTTGTTCACTATTAATGTTGTTTCGTAGGCAATTTCATATGTTGATGGCACCGCTAAACGTGACTGCCTTTAAAAATTATCATTTACTCTCATTTTTGAGCTGAATACTCTCAAGCCGATTCTGAGGTATGAAGAGACTATCTTGAACCGAGTAGACTATCTTGATTCAAATTAAGCTGGGTGAATGTAAGGCGAACAAAAGAAACTTGGTGCAGGCGTGAAATTGGCTTACGGCCCTATCATATGAAATAAGGGAAACGTTTATGACAATCAAAAAACCTCTTATCAATTAGAGCCACTACACCAAAATCATCTTTATGCCTCAAAACACGTCCCACAGCCTGATTTACCGCTCGCATTGCATCCATTACTGACCAATTGTTGGACGATATTGCCTGCAAACATTTATTCATTTGCAATTATCACATTCAATATCAACGTAGAGATACTGATTATTCAACAATTCATAATGGCACACATCATTAGCACCTTAATACTCACACAAATGAGCCACAATATTAGTAATAAAGCTTAAAGGTCGTGACTTCGCTGAACGAATTATAGTAACATCACAAGTTATTATTGTCTCAATTCTTGCTATTACTACTTCATCACTTTTGCAGTTTCAACTGCTTTAAAAGTTTGTTTGTCTTGGGCTTGTATCGTTGGCAATCGCGTTTAATATATTACCTAAGGACTACTTTTTTTTCTGATGTAGGAGTGTTCACTGAGGAAACTTTATTATTCTTTCACGAAAGAACGGTTCGAAATCTCCAAATTCAAGATCCAAAACAATTATGAATAATATCGTAAGGAGGTTATCAAGAGTAATGATCCGCAAAAATAACGATACTGAAACATACATTTTTAGTATCTTCATTAGAGATTTTACAATGACATTCAGTCATTTTTAAACTAAGACTTACGGCTTTGAATTCCTTCTTGAGCTTGATGCGAGGATCACGAGTTGGTGCGAAAGGCAATCCAATCATTACTACAGCACGACTCTCACTGTCCGATAAATCAAGGCCTTCGCTTATCTTAAGTTCATTAATATTATTTTATCGATTCACTCATATTAAAGAACCAAAAGTTAATAACCAAAGACGGATAGCTCTGCAAATTCCATAAATATCGATGAATATAATTCAAAAATAAAATCAGTCGATAATTATTTAGCTCACGATATTTTTTTAATTCACCGGAAATTATGAAATTAGGAATTAACAAAGTTATAAAGTGTGTTCGGCTCATACTCGAAACTCGAAGAAAATGCCATTGATATCTAGACTTGAGTATAATTGCGCATCTGAGAGCAAAAACGTTTCGTGACAGCGTTCGTTTGAATTACATTACGTACATACATACAAATAAGCACAGCCTAGCTGCTTTCATTAGACACAGCTAACAAACTGGGCGCATCGGTCACTGATTAAAACCGATCAACAAATTTTTAGAGAAATGCAGTTGAAATTGATTGTGAACATCTTTGTAAGGAATCAATGCAACTGATTCGCTTTAAATAGTAAGCGAGATATACGAATATGGATCGTCGGAGTGATTAACCACAGAAAAATTGATAACCTTTCCCCTGCAAACAGCCAATAATGCAGCACCGTTCGATTGCGCAACGTGCAATTTGTACTGACGAATCGCTTCATTCGTTCCTTCTTTCAACTTTGATTCCTCGAATAATTTCTTACTCATGTTCATTTCCTCCCAAATCGTTTTCCCATTTTTATTACCGATATATTTCTAAAATTTTCATTTTCTTGGAAAT